TTGTTTCCCTTGAAAGAGAAAAGTTCAAATCAGTCAAAAAAAATGGACTCCTTCATCTCTACAAAGGGTAAGTCAAATTATTAACCTGAGCTTCATTATAAGTAACATAAAAAAAATATCTCTATGCAAAAAGTTAAAATCATAACACAAAGATGTTTCACACAGATTCAGTTCAGCTCTGCAGAATCAGGTTCAGTCAAAGCTCACATTGAAAAGTTGGAGGATTTAATCTCAGCGCTCCTCTTCCCCAATGGTAGCTGAGATGACCCGATCATCAGAGTTCATTCTCTAATCCAGAAATCTCTGCCAATACTGACCATCAGCCATCAGGTGCTCATCTAACACTTGGACTTTATTTATTTTTTAAGAAAAGTTATATCAAACACTCAGATACTAAAAATGTTTATCTTTCATTAAAATACAACACATTTCCCTTCTCATTCATGTTGTATAATTAAATAATCAAAAAGCCAAAGCTGATGTCAGACATCTTCAGGTGGGCGTCTTCATCTTTCTGTTGATGTCGGTCCCTTATACAGGCGACATTTTGAACGAGGTTCAATGGATGGTTTGCAGAGCAGCCGGTCCTCAACACATCAGATGGACTACTGATGTGTTAATTAACCAATCAGAGGGGATTATTCTGGTCCTTTATTCTGGTTTGCTTTGTTGAAGCTCTTCCTGGTTCCTTCCTGATGAGCTCAGATGAGATCTGATCACTTTCTTTTGATGACTTTGAGACACACCTCCTCGTCCTGAAGGATGGAAGGATGGCTGAGATGGTCCTCCATCAGTGTCTCCAGGCACCTTGGTCCCTCTGTAAAGCCGTCTCTAAGGGGAAAAAGGTCATGTAGGTCATTTTAATGTTTCACCTGTCAGTCCCAGTCTGGCCAGAGGTCAGTGGTCTGGTCCGTTCTGTGGTCCAGGAACGGGTCGACCCGTCATGAGCTCATGTGGAGCAAAACTGGGAGTCAAAGTTACCAACGGTCTGAATTAAAGGAGCTGAGTCTGAGAAGGACAGATCAGATGTTATCTTACCCTTTCACAAACAATAGTAGATAAAATAATTTCATGTAGCTTAAAGAATTTTAGATGAAAATTTCAACTTTGTCACAAATCAATGAATTATTCCATAATTTCAAACTGACCCAGTAAATTTACTTCCTTAGTGTTCGGTACTCTTTATCACTTCTGCACCTGCAGAAGTCCAAACAAACTTCTCCTCAGCAGAGGAGGGAGGGAGGACTGTGTGGCAGTTTCAGTCAATTTAACCTCCAGATATATCTGAGCTATGGATTCATTGAGAATAGATCATTTTAAAGACTCCACCATTCATCTTAATGTAGGAATTATATCCTGTTATCTATATCCTCTGTCACTTTAATAATTATTATTAATGTTATCATTATTATTATTATTAATAAATAATAGTATTAGTATTATTTTTGTAACTTTGTGTCGTCCACCAGGTCCTTACTCTGAATTTTTAGATGAGTTTTCAGAGTTCCTTTCTGATTTGGTATTAAATACTGACAGGGTCATCATAGTGGGAGATTTTAACATCCATGCTGACATTGAAGGCGATAGCTTAAGAGCAGCCTTTAATGCTATCTTAGACACTATTGGCTTTGTTCAAAATGTGAATAGTCCCACACATTCTCATCTTCATACTTTGGATCTTGTGCTGACATATGGCATAGAATGTGCAGAAATAACAGTATTTCCTCACAACCCTGTCCTTTCTGACCACTTTCTAATAACCTTCAGGATTACTTTAACAGAGTTCTCCCCCAAAAGAAGGTTCAATTCTAGTAGATCTTTATCAGATAGTGCAGTTATACATTTTAAAGAATCTGCTTCACTTTCTAAGCTGCAGAGGTATGATTTTGAGCTAATTTACACTCCAGGCAAACATTTAGTGATTGCAGATGCGCTGTCACGAGTCCCAGTGATGAGTGAAGTGAGTCACACTGAAAAAGAAATTGAAAATCACATCAACATGATAGTTGAGTCACTGCCAGTATCTGATGTCAAAGCAAAACAGATACGTGATGAATTGAACAAAGACAAAGAATTGCAAAAAGTAATCAACAACATGCTAAAAGGATGGCCCAGAGGCTCCTGTCCAAAATACTACCACATAAGAGCAGAGCTAAGTGTGGCGAATGGACTGTTGCTGAGAGACAATAGAATAGTCATCCCACACAGCCTCAGATCAGAGATACTGAGACAGAAACACGAGGGACATCTTGGAATCGAGAAATGTAAGAGGAGAGCCAGGAGCGCTGTGTATTGGCCTGGCATTAACAGTAACATAGAAAACATGGTAGGAAAGTGTGAGACATGCAACAAATATCAGAGCAAACAGGCAAGGGAACCCATGATGATTCCAGACCTTCCCACTGCACCTTGGGAGAAAGTTGGAACGGACCTGTTTCATTGCAATGGAAAGGACTATTTGCTAGTAATTGATTACTACTCCAACTTCCCTGAAATTGCCCTGCTGTCAAGCACAAATGCCAGTACTGTCATTATGCATGTCAAATCCATATTTGCCCGGCATGGAATACCACAGACTGTAATGAGTGACAATGGTCCTTGCTACAGCTGCAAAGAGTGGCAGCAGTTTGCGAGCCAATACGGCTTCAATCGCGTCACATCCAGTCCTCACCATCCACAGGCAAATGGCAAAGCTGAAAAGGGGGTGCACATCATCAAACAGATTTAAAAAAAACCACAGACAGCAAGTCAGATCCTTACTTAGCTCTTCTAAGTTACAGAGCTGCCCCGCTTGAATGTGGTCTATCACCAGCAGAACTGTTAATGAACCGTAAATTACGCACAACTCTTCCCTATTGCACAGATATAAAGCACAATACAGGGATACAGACGAAATTGGAGAACATGAAATGGAAACAGAAACAACGCTTTGACAAGTCAACAAAATCTCTCAGTCCGATCGCCAAGGATGATGTTGTACGAATCCAGGATCAAGATGGATGGAACAGGAAAGCAACTATATACTCCAGGAGGTTGGACCTAGATCTTATGAAGTGAAGACTGAGGAAGGACAGGTGCTGAGGAGGAACCGCCGCAGCCCTCTGAAAACAAAAGAAACTTTCACAGACACAGAGATTGATGCTGATGCACTCAGTGCAAGCACAGCATCGGATGCTGACAATGATGGACATTTACAGGAGGACACAAGTAATGTTCAAGTGGATTTAGCAGTTCTGAGAAGATCTGGGCGCAAGAAAAAAAACTCTGATAGGCTGGACTTGTAAGAGCCTGAAATGAATGTTGGTTTATTGTTAAAAAAAAAAGGAATAAGGAAGTTTGTGTTTTTTGTGTTAAAAAAAAATATATTGTTTAAATCTGTTCATGTGTTGATAAATGTACGTATCTATGTGTTGAGCAATGTTTAAAGTAAGTTTCAACATGTTAGATTGAATAAGTAAGTAAAGTAAGCATTGAGTGTAATATTAGATTTACAGAAAGGGGGATATGCTGATATGCAGAATGTATTCAATGGTAGTTCCAGATATGCCCACTAGGTGGTTCTATTGAGTTATGAATACAAGGTCAACTACTAGAGTAAGGCGGAAGAAGATTTAAGTAAAGGATATTATTCAGTTCTACAGGTATATACAGATGGGTCTAAGGAGTCAGAGTCTGGAAGAACAGCAGCGGCAGTATACATTCCGACATTCAAAATAAAAATTGCAAAAAGAATATCTAATCATGTGTCAGTATTTACAACTGAAGTATTAGCTATCATATTAGCACTACAGTGGATCGAAGAAGTTCAATCACTAAGAACTGTAATATGTTCCGACTCAATGGCTACGCTAAATAGTCTTCTAAGTGGAAAATCTGAAACTTGGCAAGATTTAATATTTGAAGTATTGCAAGGTCTATTTAGAATAAGGCAGTTAAGAATACTGGTATACTTTCTTATGGGGTTCCTTTAGTGCTAAAAATATGTTTCTGTGTCTTCTGGTATGTTTAAGTGTCTTCTGGTGTGTCCATGTGTCTATGTAAGGTGTGCATGTATCGTGCTTATGTAATGGAAGTTGTATATGTAGTGGTTTAAAGTCTATATGTCAGATTCATATGTTGTGTCTATATGCTGTGAGCATATTGTGTCTACATGAGGGATAACGTGCATTGCATTATTCTTCACTTTATGTTGTTTGACCATGTTGTTGAACCTGTCAGCATGTGATCTCGTTTTGCTGTCGTTTCCTTTGCTGTTACAGCCTGTCGTTGTCACGTCATCTCCCTCTGCTGGTACAACCAGAAGACACATAAACATATTTTTGGCACTAACGGAACCCCATACTTTCTCTGGGTGCCAGCACATGTGGGTGTAGATGGAAATGAGAAAGCGGACAAGCTAGCAAAGAAAGCATTAAATCATCAGCAAATAGAAATGAATGTATTTTTAAGTAAATCAGAAATTAAAACATTGATAACAATTAAAACTAGAAAGAAATGGCAAACGATATGGAATAATGAGTCAAAAGGAAGACATTTATATCAGATTCAAAAGTTTATTGGAAAGGAGAGGAAAAGATTTGGAAATAGGAAAAAAGGTATAATTATTTGAAGGCTAAGAATAGGTCACACAGCATTAAACTACAGTCTTTTTAAAATAGGGAAACATGAAACAGGAAATTGTGACAAATGCAGAGATCCAGAAACAGTACAACATATTGTTTTTGAGTGTACTGCGTATGTTAGGGAGAGAATGAAGTTCATACAAGAGTTGAGAAAAATAGGGATTAATGGAATTCAATAAAAGTATTGTAAGGAAACAAGATAAGACAAACAAGAGTTAATTAAATATTATTCAAATATCTAAAAGATACAGGAACAATGAATAGGATTTAGTTATAGGATTGTTTTATTTTTATTTTTTATTTTTTTGGGTATAGTGCAGTCTTCCAAAATTGTGCACCTCACACTCCAGATCAGTAGGTGGCGGAAATGCACCTTTCAGAAGAAGAAGAAGAAGAAGAAGAAGAAGAAGAAGAAGGCGGTAGAAGAAGAGATAAACAAAGCAAGACGGTTGTTAATGCTGGTTAAGAAGTTAATAAAAGTTGAGCACATGCTCACCGTGGATCATACTTTGTTTAATGACTGAGTTCATAAACAACACATCCAGCTTCAAGGAGAGTTTATCAGCGAGCAGTTAACTCCTGCTGAAGAAACATTCACGGAGTTTAAAGGGAGTTTGGTCAATTCGGAGGAAAAGATGGACGACCAACATCTACTGCTGGATTTCACCAGGATCCCCCAGATCATCTTACACCGGATAGGTAGGAAACACCTGATAGAAACGATTCCCTGATGATGCACACTGTGGATGTTAGCCTCATCTGATTGGAAAACTGCTTAGAGGAGATCAAGATGCTAAGCTAAAGCTAACTTCCGGTTGATGGTTAGTTTACGTTGTTGGGTTAAAAAACGTGTTAGTTTTAAGTTGGATATTCAAACATTTGCTCCAGTTAAACCCCTTCCTCCCCTGGTTTGGAGAAAGCTGCTCCAACATTTCAAGTGTATTAGAGACTTTACAGTAAAAACACATCGAGAGAAAAGGGCTACGTCATGCACCGACTTCCTGTTTTGAAAATACAACTGCTAGCTTAGATATTTATTTTTATTGATATTTAATTATCCTATATACAATGGTCTGGCCTTGAAAGTGAAACAGACTGAGTGAAAACTTTTATAGTGAGTAAATAGGATCAATTAATATCTAATTAAAAGAGAAATCTAAATTTTCCAACTACAGTCCACCCTTTCGATTATAGAAGGATATCATTTTGTAATCGATATTAAAAATGGGAAAATTAATGAATATAAAAAACTAAAAGTAACTAAAACTGTAAATATTTATAAAGAAAACAAAAAAAAATTGTGTATATGTAAAGAAAGGTAAAAATAAGAAACTAAAAATAAAAATAATAATGAAACATATATATCAAAAACGCTGCATTAAGTGAGTGGACAAATTAAATGATTATAATAGATGGAAAAATCATGGAAAAGATCATGAAAGCTAAAATGTTTTGCCAATAAATAGAGCCCTGGAATCACATCCTAGTTGGCAAAAATATTTACTGTTTTTCCCCATGATGATACTTTTATGGTAAAATATCTATTGTTGAGAATTTTAATGTTTAATTCTTATCATTATCAGTTACCCTTTTTGTTTCCCTTGAAAGAGAAAAGTTCAAATCAGTCAAAAAAAATGGACTCCTTCATCTCTACAAAGGGTAAGTCAAATTATTAACCTGAGCTTCATTATAAGTAACATAAAAAAAAATATCTCTATGCAAAAAGTTAAAATCATAACACAAAGATGTTTCACACAGATTCAGTTCAGCTCTGCAGAATCAGGTTCAGTCAAAGCTCACATTGAAAAGTTGGAGGATTTAATCTCAGCGCTCCTCTTCCCCAATGGTAGCTGAGATGACCCGATCATCAGAGTTCATTCTCTAATCCAGAAATCTCTGCCAATACTGACCATCAGCCATCAGGTGCTCATCTAACACTTGGACTTTATTTATTTTTTAAGAAAAGTTATATCAAACACTCAGATACTAAAAATTTTTATCTTTCATTAAAATACAACACATTACAACATGTTTCCCTTCTCATTCATGTTGTATAATTAAATAATCAAAAAGCCAAAGCTGATGTCAGACATCTTCAGGTGGGCGTCTTCATCTTTCTGTTGATGTCGGTCCCTTATACAGGCGACATTTTGAACGAGGTTCAATGGATGGTCTGCAGAGCAGCTGGTCCTCAACACATCAGATGGACTACTGATGTGTTAATTAACCAATCAGAGGGGATTATTCTGGTCCTTTATTCTGGGCCGTTTCTCAATATGCGTTCTTGAGCGTTCTCGTGTGCTCGTGTACTCGTGATACGTCATCAGCCTCAGCCCGAGTACCGTTCCAATTCTCAAGAACGCCAGATTGAGAACGCATAAAATCCCCGGATGTTGTTCTCACCCCGCCCTCTTTATCGAGCATGCATCAGAGCAGACTTGTGCGTTCTTCAGACTGGCCGCTTCCCCAGAATGCCCCGCGGCCGCAGCTTGATTCCAGACAGCGCTCACAGTGTTAGGTTAAACATTCCCTTTTCTGCTGCTGTTGTTCTTCAAAAGTACGTTTTGAAATCGTTTGAGGCGATAACATTATACATTTAAGCCTCCCTGTGTGGTCTGTTTACAGAGTTAGTGCGAAATTAAAAAAAAAAAGTCCGACATTGAGCGGACCAGAGTGACCAGCAGACCTCCGAAGGTAACCCGCAGCCAGGGCTAAATTTACCCCGTCTGTAGTGCACTTATCTCGGTCTAGTTATGTGTGAACTACAGCTCGTTCTGATGGCGTTTTTTTGCGGTTCGGTAATTTTTTTTAATGTTTTTTAAGCTTTAGAAATTAAAAATATTGTTTTCAACATGTTTTGTGTAGGGAATAAATAGTTTTGACTGTTAAAGAAATGCTAAACAACGTTGCATGTGATGACGTCACGAGTACGCTTCTGCTCCAATACACATACGTGCTTGCGTGCTCGCGTTCTCGTCAAGTCCGCTCTTCCTGCGTTCTCGCCAAGAACGGACTTGACGAGAACGCGAGTACGTACTCGTGTTCTCGTGAATTGAGAAACGCCCCTGGTTTGCTTTGTTGAAGCTCTTCCTGGTTCCTTCCTGATGAGCTCAGATGAGATCTGATCACTTTCTTTTGATGTCTTTGAGCCACACCTCCTCGTCCTGAAGGATGGAAGGATGGCTGAGATGGTCCTCCATCAGTGTCTCCAGGCACCTTGGTCCCTCTGTAAAGCCGTCTCTAAGGGGAAAAAGGTCATGTAGGTCATTTTAATGTGTCACCTGTCAGTCCCAGTCTGGCCAGAGGTCAGTGGTCTGGTCCGTTCTGTGGTCCAGGAACGGGTCGACCCGTCATGAGCTCATGTGGAGCAAAACTGGGAGTCAAAGTTACCAACGGTCTGAATTAAAGGAGCTGAGTCTGAGAAGGACAGATCAGATGTTATCTTACCCTTTCACAAACAATAGTAGATAAAATAAGTTCATGTAGCTTAAAGAATTTTAGATGAAAGTTTCAACTTTGTCACAAATCACTGAATTATTCCATAATTTCAAACTGACCCAGTAAATTTACTTCCTTAGTGTTCGGTACTCTTTATCACTTCTGCACCTGCAGAAGTCCAAACAAACTTCTCCTCAGCAGAGGAGGGAGGGAGGACTGTGTGGCAGTTTCAGTCAATTTAACCTCCAGATACACTATATTGCCAAAAGTATTTGCTCACCTGCCTTGACTCACATATGAGCTTAAGTGACATCCCGTTCCTAATCCATAGGGTTCAATATGACGTCGGTCCACCCTTTGCAGCTAGAACAGCTTCAACTCTTCTGGGAAGGCTGTCCACAAGGTTTAGGAGTGTGTTTATGGGAATTTTTGACCATTCTTCCAGAAGCGCATTTGTGAGGTCGCACACTGATGTTGGACGAGAAGGCCTGGCTCTCAGTCTCCGCTCTAATTCATCCCAAAGGTGTTCTATCGGGTTGAGGTCAGGACTCTGTGCAGGCCAGTCAAGTTCATCCACACCAGACTCTGTCATCCATGTCTTTATGGACCTTGCTTTGTGCACTGGTGCACAGTCATGTTGGAAGAGGAAGGGGCCAGCTCCAAACTGTTCCCACAAAGTTGGGAGCATGGAATTGTCCAAAATGTCTTGGTATGCTGAAGCATTCAGAGTTCCTTTCACTGGAACTAAGGGGCCAAGCCCAGCTCCTGAAAAACAACCTCACACCATAATCCCCCCTCCACCAAACTTTACACTTGGCACAATGCAGTCAGACAAGTACCGTTCTCCTGGCAACCGCCAAACCCAGACCCGTCCATCAGATTGCCAGATGGAGAAGCGCGATTCGTCACTCCAGAGAACGCGTCTCCACTGCTCTAGAGTCCAGTGGCGGCGTGCTTTACACCACCGCATCCGACGCTTTGCATTGCACTTGGTGATGTATGGCTTGGATGCAGCTGCTCGACCATGGAAACCCATTCCATGAAGCTCTCTGCGCACTGTTCTTGAGCTAATCTGAAGGCCACATGAAGTTTGGAGGTCTGTAGTGATTGACTCTGCAGAAAGTTGGCGACCTCTTCGCACTATGCGCGTCAGCATCCGCTGACCCCGCTCCGTCAGTTTACGTGGCCTACCACTTCGTGGCTGAGTTGCTGTCGTTCCCAAACACTTCCATTTTCTTATAATACAGCTGACAGTTGACTGTGGAATATTTAGGAGCGAGGAAATTTCACGACTGGATTTGTTGCACAGGTGGCATCCTATCACAGTTCCACGCTGGAATTCACTGAGCTCCTGAGAGCGACCCATTCTTTCACAAATGTTTGTAAAAACAGTCTGCATGCCTAGGTGCTTGAATTTATACACCTGTGGCCATGGAAGTGATTGGAACACCTGATTCCAATAATTTGGATGGGTGAGCAAATACTTTTGGCAATATAGTGTATATCTGAGCTATGGATTCATTGAGAATAGATCATTTTAAAGCCTCCACCATTCATCTTAATGTAGGAATTATATCCTGTTATCTATATCCTCTGTCACTTTAATAATTATTATTAATGTTATTATTATTATTATTAATAATAAATAATAGTATTATTATTATTTTTGTAACTTTGTGTCGTCCACCAGGTCCTTACTCTGAATTTTTAGATGAGTTTTCAGAGTTCCTTTCTGATTTGGTATTAAATACTGACAGGGTCATCATAGTGGGAGATTTTGACATCCATGCTGACATTGAAGGCGATAGCTTAAGAGCAGCCTTTAATGCTATCTTAGACACTATTGGCTTTGTTATAAATGTGAATAGTCCCACACATTCTCATCTTCATACTTTGGATCTTGTGCTGACATACGACATAGAATGTGCAGAAATAACAGTATTTCCTCACAACCCTGTCCTCTCTGACCACTTTCTAATAACCTTCAGGATTACTTTAACAGAGTTCACCTCCCCCAAAAGAAGGTTCAATTTTAGTAGATCTTTATCAGATAGTGCAGTTATACATTTTAAAGAATCTTCTTCACTTTCTCTCTCCTCTGTGTCGCTGAGCAGTGCTGCAGAGTGCAAAAGCTTAGCTTATTCCCCTTCACAGGTTGATGATTTTGTTGATGGGGTTGCTAGTTCTATGCGTACTGCCTTAGACAACGCAGCTCCTTTGAAAATGAAAACCGTTAAAAATAGAAAGCTTGCTCCTTGGTT